GCTTTTCTGTGGTATTGATTTCTTTGTTCCATATAATTTTCTATGCTGAGTTTGTTTTGTTTATGAATCGTGTTATCACTTCTTTTGTTGCTATTGTTTTAGTATTTGCTAAATATTTGTGCTGGTAGGAGCTCTGGTAACATAGTGCCTAAGGCACTTGACAGCTAACCAGAGGACTGGCGGTTCAAACCCACCAGCTACTCCTTGGAAGGAAGGTTGGACAATCTACCTGTGATTTATACTTTTCTTCCCAAGTTTAGAACAGTCCATTCTATCTTGTAGTTGTCTTGACTTCCCTACCATTTAGAAGTTCTGTAACAACACAGTTTTTCCCTCTTTTTGGTCTGTAGTTGTCCTCATTTGTCAATTGATGCCTCTGGCTCCCTGTTTACAATCTTGTAGGCTTATTTACTTTGGGTAGTTCCATAGCTGTGTTGGTTTCTGGGTTATTTCATCATGTGTGTTAATGGTCAGTTGTTGTTTGTTCTTGCTGCTTCTCTGTCCAAAGGACTTCCTTTAGCATCTCTTGTAGGCTGACCTGCTTTTTCACAAATTTCCTTAATTTCTGCTTATCTGGACATGTCCTAATTTCACCATCATATTTGAGGGACAATTTTTCTGGGTACATAATTCTTGGTTGGAAATTCTTCTCTTTCAGGGTTTTATATATACTATCCCATTGTCATCTCGCCTGCATTGCTTCTGCCGAGAAATTTGAGCTTAGTCTTATTGGTTGCCACTTGTAAGTAACTTTGTTTTTCCTGTAGGAGTTCTTGTAGCATAGTGCCTAAGGCACTTGACTACTAACCAGAAGGCTGGCAGTTCAAACCCACCAGCCACTCCTCGGAAGAAAGGCTGGGCAATCTGCTTCCATAGTGATACTGCTTCGGACACCAAAGGAGGGGTCACTATGAGTCAAGTATGACTCGAGGGCACATAACAACAACAACACGTACCGCTTTCAGGGTTCTTTCTTTGTCATTGGTTTTGGTGATTTGATGATGATATGTCTTGGTGATTTTCTTTTGGAGTCTATCCTATTTGGGTTTCATTGGACTTCTTGAATGGATATATTCTCATTTTTCATCATACCAGGAAAATTCTCTTCCAATAAATCTTCAACAATTTTTCTGTGGTTATATTTGTCTCTTCCTGTTCTGGAATTCCAATCACACATGGGCTATTTCTTTTGATGATATCCCACATGAACCTTAGGCTTTCTTTATTTTGTTTTGATCTTTTTTCTGATTGCTCCCTTTCCAAAGAAGTATTGAGGTATTGTCTTCAATCTCACTAATTCTGTCCTCCATTAATTCAATTCTGCTCCTTTGTCTGTTCAATGTTTTATCTATTTCTGAAAATTTAGTATTAAATGTTCTGGATTCCTGTCTGTAGATTTTGTATCATTTCTGATTTTTCATTTATTTTGTCATTCAGTTCTTGTATTGTCTTTTGAAATTGTTCTAGGGGTTTCTCTGTGTTTTCCTCCATTTTGTCAGTGTTTTCCTTGATCTGTCTCTCAATTCGTTGAAAATACCTAAATATGAT